TAAAGCCATATTTTTTGATATAAATATATTTTTTAATAAAATAACGAGATAAAATAGACATCGATATTATACTTATGTAAAAAGTTTCATTATTATTCTATTGTACTTAAGTATATCCCTTTCTATAATATGTAATATTATATGAACTATACGTTAAGATTATGTATGTTATGTCGATGATGCTCATAAAAAAATTCGTACTATTGATTTATTATATTTTAAACAATGTCAATTATCTTGCCATAAAGTATTAATAATATTATAACGTTCACCTAATAAATAACTACAAAATGTATATTATTTAATCTATTTTCAAATGACGGTATATCTCTTGAAGAAGTTCCATTACTTGATTAGTATCGTTCATATCAATTGTCTTAGTAATTGTCCCGTTGTTTGAATATCTAATAATTGTTGCAGTTGAAGGAGTTACAGTTTTATCAAAAGTTTTAGAAGATACGCTTGTTGTTTCTATTTTATTAGTTACGCTACTCGTAATGGGAATTTTTTCTGTTGTACCGTCATCTATACTTGAACCTACAAAAAACAATGTCATAAATTGGAACATTAAAATCAATTTATTATACATGCTAATATTCATATAATATTTTTATTTATTTATTTATTTTTTTTATTTTCTTTGAGATCAATTAACATTTCCTATGTTATACTAAATCGATAATTACATAGATGCGTTTTTAAAACTGCTTACTTTCTGTTGTTAGTTTAGAATAAAGATTACGTTTGTCATTAACCCCATCATAATTATCTCCACTGCTTACAGTTACCGGATCACCAACCTGTTTTTCTTCAGCGTTAAGTATATCGGGTGTTTTGTAATTCGTAGTAGTAGATAATACAGCTCGATTAGTGTTAATATCTCCGTCATTGTTCGAATCCAGAGCAGTGTTTGTGTCAATACGTACCGTTGTTATCTCTGCATCAGCATCTTGTAGACCATCTACAGAAGCAGTATTGATTGGTTTGAGATATTCAGATGTAGATTAAGCATTTGTTGCTTTATGTTATTTAGGAGATACTACTCTTAGAATTCCCTTTAGACACAGAAGACTCCTTACCAACGTTTGCTGAACTACTGGATTTCGATGATCCATTTTCAGATTGATCGTTAACATTTATTCCATCGGTTTCGACGTTAGTTCCATGCGTTACTTCATCTGACAAAGTCGAAGGTAATAATGGATTTGTCGAGATTTTATTATTACTAAATTTCGAATAATTGTTTCCCGAATTTGAAAAGGCAGAAGCAGCAGCAGCAGTAGCAGAATTAGATGATTGATAGTCATCCGTTGAAAGTTCTTTCTTCACTGTTTTACCTGGATTTTCGTAAACTCCTGAATTATCAATCACATTGTCAGAATTTATACCACCAAGTGATCCAAATATATTTTGCGAGCTGACAGTCGATGAAGATTCGGATTCATTTGCATCTACGGAAGATTCTTTATCAATTGCAGAATTTGGAATTAAATTCTTCCATCCTGGACGATAAGTTCTTGGGGTAGTAAGAAGTACTGACGTAAATAGTTTCTCGGAGAATGCTTCCGTTGGTCTTGCAGTTGATTGCGAATCTGATTTTCTTGTAGTATCTGCATTTGCATTAGAAGTTGAACTATGACCATGTAAACATGGGGTAGCTGTTAAAGGGCCAGCTTCATTGTTCGATACAGAAGATTGCGGTAATGTAACAATATTGTTATTGTTATTTACATTCGAATAATTATTACTATTGCTCGTAGTATCATCATTTTGAACTGATGAAGAAGATGATGCAGTTGTAGAGGCCTGCACTTTATTCTCTTCGGTGTTTTGTGTGTTTGAACCAGAATTAATGCATACTGGAAAGCCCATTATAAGTGGACAAAGAGGTTTCTTGCCATCTTTAGATGATTCAAGTTTTGATGAATCTTCAGATGGTTCTAGTTTTGATGAATCTTCAGATGGTTCTAGTTTTGATGAATCATCTTTTGGTAAATATGATGTCGATGGTAGCTTATCAATGTCCACTTGAGAATCTTCAGTATTTTTATTTGATCCATATACGATGGAACTAGATTCAGCATTTAAATCAGCATTTTGATCGTATGCTGAAGAGTTATTACTATCGTTTGTATTAGACTGATCTTGGTTATCTGATACAGAAGGTAAATGTGGTTTGACTGTTGTTATAAGGCCATCAGGTTTTTCTGATGATCCAGAAAGATGTGGTTTTTTTGTAGAAGATGGCTGTTGTGTATTATCTGTAGAAGTTGGGTAGTGTGGACTATCTGTTGAAGTCGGGTGATGAGGATTATCTGTAGAAGATGGCTGGTGTG